TTCATATATTAAGAAATGCTGATTGCAATAAGCTGCTATTCATTAAGAAGTCTTCTGTGCACAGGAAACTCACAATATATTCTTTAGAAGAATAATTCCCTTTCTTCTTTTTAGTTTTTAAAGCTAGACATTGGTAAGTACTACTTCCTGAGATAAATGGCATTTAAGTTAGATGGCACAAAGAACACAGAAGAAAACTTCTATTCCTTTACAAAGGCAATGCACAACCATATAAGACCCTTGGCACCTAAACAGCTAATCCTGTTCTTGGAAGGGTTACATTCATGTAATAATTCTGTCCTGCTAAAAACTGGGTTGTCCCTAACCAGGGCTATTTAGCACACAGACTGAACATAACCAAGGCTGTAACTTTATAGGGAGTTGGAGCAGTCTGCAGTACCGTGAGGGGTGCATTCCTGAAACTCTCCTATACCAGTGTAATGTCAATAGAAAAGGCTGAGTGGTGACGTAATGTCTGAGGGCATGCCAGAGTCAAGACACTTTTTGTTTGATTCACAGGGTACAAGTTATTTCTCCCTACCCCCGCCTTTTTTAAAGTGGGCAATAGGCAGTTACTTCACAGCTACAAGCGTTATTGAGCCTCACATTATCTGCACAGTGGAAAAAAAAAGGAATGAGCAGATAGCATTCATCATTGTGACACAGGCAACAATTCTTGAGCAAGAAAAAGCTTTTGATCTATTTTAATTTGGAGGCGGGGTTGTGTTTGGTAATTTTTTTGAGAGTATTTTTTTTGCTGCTGCCCATCACCATGGCCTCTGAGGCTCCTACACTTAAAAACGCATTTGGGTACCTGAAGCCCTTCAATACTTCCTGCATCCTCAGATCCAAGAAGATACTTCCCATACCAGTTTAGCAACTAAAAATCCTTAATATTTAAACAACATTTCCCAAATTCTAATGCTGACAAGAAGAATGGAAACTCCCCCAGTACCCTGATACAACTTGAGATTCTCACACATTTTATGATTTGTATGTAAACAAACACATGTGCACACTAGGGTAAAGTCAGTGGGAGTTAGGTGCATAAATAAACTGCCTTTAAAATTCTGGGCCTGGATGCCTGTACCAGAAGGATGGATAAATTATGCTCTCACATAAATCTCTATAGCCAACAGAGTGGGCAGCTGAGAGTCATGCTTGATCCATCTAGCCTATCTTACCCTGCCTCCCTTCCAAAGCTGTATGACTCAAGGGAGCTCCTGGATAACGCAAATGGCATACAATTTTGAATGCATTTATCTACCAACATCAGAGCCCTCCTACAAAGAAAAGAAAAATTGGTGTCATGTGAATGAGGTCATTACACTCATGACATGGACAAAAGACAGAGTTCCAAGAGGAGCAAATGAAGGCAATTATAAATGAGTGCAAATAAAACACCAGCTAAACATTGCCTCTCAAGCTTTGGTAGTTGTAAGAAACAAGAAAAGTCCAACTGTGGCATTTCTAGGAAAAATGCTTGCATATACTGTTCACTGACTTTAAAATCAGGTTCACGAGGACTAGAGCAATAATGATTTTGGAAGAAAACAACAGTTTGCAAGGACACAAAAAGCAGCAAAGCTGTTCATCCTCCAAGACCCCTGTCATTTAGCTTGTGCTACAATCCACATACCCAAAATACCTGCAACAACTCTTCAGAATGTGTTCTTCCCAACTTAAAAAAAAATAATTGGGGTTAACAGCTGAATCTTTCTGAGTTTTGTTCCTTAAACCATTAATGGTATTTCATTTTTTGTTAAGAGGTTTCACTCTACTCGCATCACAGATGCTCCAATAAAACGAGCTGCTATGCAGATCACTGCACACCTGGTGGTAGCAGGCTCCCCTCTAGAGGGAGGAGTCAGGAGTTCTGCATCCAAGTCCTGTTGAGTACCTGTTGCAATCTATGTGCACTAGAAAGACAATACTGAGAAAAGATTAAAATACAGAGCTTAACTGCCATCAACAGACAAACCAATCAAACTGTTCCCCAACTAGTAGCCTGTGTTTTATTTGTGCAAAGAAATTGTATTAATTCAACACACATACTTTGCCGAAGTAAGAATAACACATCTGATCATTATGAAAACTTAAGTATTTAATTTCTTAAAATATAAGGGTGATCTCTAAGAGAACTCCTAAGTTGTGTGCTCGCAGCTTGGACTCTTCATTTTTGCCATACTAGAATCCAACAGCCCCATATGGAACATGGTGTTATTTACCTTCTCTGTAGATTTTCACCACTGTGTAACAGCAAACTTCCAAAGGCAAGTACTAAGATCTAACAGTTCTCAGTTTTAAAACCCTGATGGTCATGATTTACAGGAAAACTTCCTGCAAGTAAACCATTTCCCATGCACAAGTTTCACAGAAAGACTAGCAAAGGCTGTAGTTCTGTGAGGTGCTGAGTCTCACAGCACTGAAATGCTCTCTCTCCACCTCTCACTCACCCTCTGATCCTTTCCTTATATTATCTTCAAATGTTTGCCAGAGCCCTCTGAGTGTCAATATAAGTCATTAACCCAGAAAAAAAAGAAGTAAATGCTTCTGCCAGGTTAGGAAGTTGAATCACTAAATGGTCTTGCATCACCTCTGCTGGATAAGAAGGGCCTCCCCCTTTCAGCAGCTCACTTTCTTTCCAATGCAACTGCATTCTAGGCACTGATGAGTTAAGGATATCCCTTTCTTGTTAGGGTTAAAATACAGAATCTAAATACAACTTTATCAGATGAACTAACTGTGCAGACAACACAGAATAGTTTTTGAACACAGGAAAGTCAAATTTTTATATTACTAGACTCTGTATGAAGCATTAAAACGTAATTCTTTATGACAGCTTAAAAGATGAAAAAAAGATTGAGTCACCAGTTTAATAAAGATAGAAAGAAAAACTGAAGACAGAAAAAAATCAGAGGTGCAACGAGAGAAAATTTCTAAAGAAGCCTTCCTACCACAAGTGCCACTTATAATTTGAACACAACTTTCTTACCCTTAGATCCCTTCAAATGAGCCTTAGCCCACACAAAGTTTTGATCCTACAAGGAAATGCAAGCAAAGAATTCTACAAAGCTCATTTTGCATGGATCTTGAATGAAAGACATTCTTTTTTAAGGCAAAGGACAGGAATATTAAATGGGACAGGGGGCTGGAACCAGATTCAATTGGAAACAGATTTATTTCTTTTTTCTGGTGAATTCTGATTTATGGGAGGAGTCTTGTATACATTATTTCATACTTACTCACCAAAACGCAAAAGCATATTAGTTGTATAGAAGGGTAAAACTCAAAACACTGTAAATTTTTTTTATTCATCTTGTGTATCTTACAGTAGGTTCCAACTCTAACCTTCTTTTCTAGATACGCCTGGAATTGGAATTGCATTCTCTGTAAAAGGCAGTCCCTAAGGACTATCTGTAGTGTTGACAATCTTAGTCAGCTGGATTTGTGCTTTACTGAACAGTTTCAGACATAAAGTTGGACCACATCTTGGCATGTTCTGTGACTTCGTTATCTTTTTTCCTTCCAGTTAGAAGATGGGTATGAGCAGGTATCTAAATGTCAAATTCCACATCTCTCTAATATTCCATATTAAACTTCACCTTCTCTATTAGCTTCTTATAGCATTTATAAGGGAATATAAATGTCTTTTGCTCCGACTACCAACTGGTTAGTAGCATTATGTGCTGCTACATACCTGAACAGAAAGTCCACCAAGTCAAAAGAATATCAAGTTTTTACAAAATGCAGGCTTCTGAATTACCGCATCAACCTGATACAGAACAGCCATATTCTTCCCATTAAAGTAACACCATACCCATAAGAAAATGGCTTAGAAAGCACAACAGACACTAAGGCTTTTATCTAGAACTTCAGTAACAGATGAGAAGCTAAACTACATGTCAGAGTGTACACAGGCCTATTCTGACTTCCAGAGGAGAAAAGAATGACATTTTTAGGCTGACTAAATAATGGACCACAAATCATCAGCAGTTTTCTTCTTAAACAATACATCTGTTTACCTACTCTTTATAGTAAACTGCTCTATAGTAAACAACTATTTTTAAAATATGGTTTCATTATTGCATTCTCACACTCCTTCTGCCAGAAACTATGTAAAACTCGGAAATACTGTGCAAGTTCAGTGATGTAAATGTTATTTCCTACTTGCAATCTGAAAGAAGCTCAACTCTGCCTCCTGCAGCAGCAGCAATAGAATTAATGACCAAATTCTGACTGCAGAAATTTTACTGATGACAGCACAGAAATTTTCAGATCTTAGTTCTGTACTATCTTGACTTAAAAACACATTCTTTGTCCTTAAACAGTGTTAGTGGTTATTAAATACAGCTGTCCAAAGACAATATCCAGCTCTAGAATCATACAAACTGCTGTTAGTTACTTTATGTGTGACCTATTTCTTTGTGATTAGTAGTAGGGACAGAGTCGTGCCTCAGTGAAGCAACAAACTATTCCTTCCTAACCACCGGCCACCACCACTGACAGAATACTGAACTATAAAGACCTGTATCTGATCCAGTAGAAGAGTATTAAAGGAGAAACTTGATAATTTGAAATAAGAATCAGTAACTCTATAAACCCACAATATTTGTGTTGTGGGATTGCCTCTACTGCACTCAGTAGCAATACTGAAATGCAAGGAGGATGCTTCCTTATCATATGTAGATAATATTGTCTAGTCATGCTTCTAAAATTGTATTAATTAAACCTAAAAAGCCTCTGCAAATATTTTTCTTGTGAATATCACCTTCCAAGTAGGTATTAGATCACTTCAAACAAGAGGTAAAATTTATCATTTGCTTTGGTATGTTTTTCTTCTTTCAGAGCCTATGATGCAAAACAGTTTTGAGGTAAGCCTACACATGTCCTGCCTCTTGTTTTATCTACTGAATCAGTAAAAAAAACCCAACCTTAAAAGTGTTTTCAAACACTCATGGAAACTCTTGAGACTCAGGAGAGCACTGCTTGCTTATTACCTGATCACGATCACCTGCAAAACAGCAGCTCTTCATAGTACATGAGTTGAAGTACCCTTGGTTGTCAAACTGGAAGACAGGCAGCCGGCAGTGGATGTCATAGAGGACCGGGGGAAGGCGCCGACGCAGTGCCAGCAGCTGGGTTCCATTGCTATTGAACCGGACACTCATGGCACTCTGAAGGGAGAGGTTTCCACCATAGCGGAGCAGCGAACTGGGAAGACAGAGGAAACAAATGAGATGGGCCGCTGATACAAACTGAACTACACAGAGACAGAACCCTCTCTTTAACCTTACTGAGTCATTTCAAACAAACAAGCCCAGTAAACTATAAAATCATCTAGTTTCTGCTTCAAAGCATCAATTCCTGAACAAACTTGATTCAAAACCTGAATGACAAACTATCAAAATGCTAAGACTACAGCCTTCAGAAGAGTAAGGTTAAAGACTGCGAGTAGTTTTGCTAATAACAAATACATTTCCTGCATAGGAACAAAGTCTCATAGAGCAGCCTTAGCCTTAAAGGGGTGTTCTTGTACTTCTGGGATGTCTCCATTTGAGACTGACCCTACCAGCACTCAGCTCTTTTTGTTCAGTTGGTGCCCAAATCCAGCCAACCCAAACGTTTTTTTTCCCCGTCTGCTCTGGCACTAGATGGCATTTTCTCCCATTGTAGGTACTCTGACTATTATCTCACTTCAGCTTTTATTTACATTTCTATAGGCATTGAACTCTACAATCAGTTCCAACTGTCTTAAATAAAAGGCAGTCTTACTAACAAGTTATTACAAGAAATGCTAAAATAAGTCACTTAGCTAATCTCAGACTTGCTTCATCTAAAAACATTGGCAAGCAGGCAAGACAATTATGCTACCACATGACACTATTACCTAAAAATCTCACATGGATGAATTAGCTAGTTTCCTTGTCCCAAATAAGGCTTTATGATCAGAGCTGGAGTATTTGTTTCAGTTCTTATTGGCATATACAAGACAAAAACAAAGGCTCACAAGTTTCCAGGCTCTCTCTTTAAAATAACAGAATATGGATTTTGTTCCATCCAGGACCCTAAAGATAAACAAGGCATACCTGAAATTCAACTTGCATTGTACAGGCTTTCTGTTTTTTTCAAACACTTAATTCAATCCCTGTACTTGAAATGACTGTATGTATGGAAAGGGAGCCAAATAAGGAAGACATTTTATCCCTTTCTTGTCCAGCAATCACTGAAACCTCTTTAAGCAGTACCACAGCTCGACCTTCTGTTAACAGATTTTGAGCAAACCTCATCAAATCTTCTTGAGAGCTGTGACTTTTATGCACCTCTGGACCAGAAAATGCATGCCAGCACAGAATTTGCAGATTCTAGAGGGAAGTTTATTCATAGGTTTTAATGCGTTACACTTTTTGATGTAGCCCTCTGCCCCAACATTTGTGAAAAATGAGTCACTCCACAGGGATGGGAAGCCACATCCCATGCAGGCTGAAGCACGCATTGTTACATGAGATACTGTAAAGTTAAAAAACTATTGTTCCTAAGCCAGAGTTAAACAAAACCAAACACCAAATAGAAGACTCCACATAATGAATGCACTAGAAATACACTGCTCTCACACACACACACTTTGTGAACTGAACAGTCAAAGCCAATGTGCCACAAAGCAACCAGAAGTCACATTTTCAAAGCCAACTAGTAAGAGCTTCAAGCTGGGCATCAAAACTTCTGAATGCCTGTATCAGCCTGAAAATTCCTGCTCTACCACATGCGTGTGTGTTCTTCTCCTAGGCAAAGCCACTGAGCTTCTTTTAATACTGTTCATGGATTTTAATAAAAACGTGAGAAAATTTAATACTAGAAAATCTATCCTTAGAGACAAGGATTTAGGGTCCCCCTCATCAGCCCTAGTTTCTGGGGCTGTATATAATAAAGGTATTCAGCCAGCTTAAAACACTCATGCATTGAAAAGAAAACCAAACCAAACCAAACCCAAAACACACATGACTTCCCCCAACCTCCCCTCCTGATAGGTCTATGTAAGCCAAAAACTTTTTCTACGGAAGTTTCCACTTCCTTTATTATTAAAAAAAAAAAAAAAAAAATTAAACTAAAAACTCCCCAAACCAACCAAAACCTCAACCCAAAAAACAGGCAGAAGAAACAAACCCAGGTTTTTTTGGCTAAGAAAGGTCAATTTTTCTATAAAAATATATGAGTTCTCCCATATGGATAAGAACACCAAAAAATATATGCACCAACCAAACTTAATGTCAAGGTGCAGCCACCACTGCACCAAGACTAAGTCCCTTTCCTCATTACCAGTTCTCATCCTCAATCTAAACTGCAATCCAGAATTCTCTCCTGCCTACAAGTGAGCAAGCCTACCAGATGCCCCATTCTTTCAAATCTTCAAGCAAAGTTTCCATGGTTACTATTATTATGCCCTGCCTGAAATATTTTGAGATTATATTTTATAGTAATAGTAGTGTAATATTAAACTAGCTTCCATTCTGCTTACGGATGTTTTCATTAAGCTCCTATAGCAGTCAAAGCTATCAAAGAAAACACCTCTTGGAATTGAATTCTGTATTGTGTTTCAGTAACTTTAGTGTAACAAAGCTCTAAGAATATTTTACTTCAGAAATGAAATGAAGTAAGAAAGGCTAGAACTTCAGAAATTATGATCACATACGTACATAAGAAGCCTAGAATTAAGGAGCTGCATAGTTAAGACTCCTCAAAAGATCCACAGCTTTGCCTGCCTCATACCCTCACTCCACACAATTCAGCCACACATGTAATGGAAATACAGTTTGTGCTCCAGTTCCCTGAACTTTTGGCTCAAAGGGGAAACAAACAAACAAACAACCCACCCACACCCAACCCAAACGAAAAATCCAAACCCCACACTAATAAAAAAGACAGCAGGCTAAGTTTGGCTGGTAGAGAAAGAAATGCTAAAATAGCCATTTGTCATTCATACATGAGCGACACGCCAATGACTTTTCCCATTTAACTGAATTCTGTCCCCAAAAATCAAACTCCACAGCTCCGCATGCAGCATTTTGCTGCACTAATCACAAGACAGGGGTTTTCTGTCTTCCCCACCCTGCTGTGTCCTGCTTGCTTCCTCTCTGCCTCTTTGAAAGGGTTTGTTAGATCAACTGCAGAGTGTTTTCCTTTAACAAGCTATGAAAAGGGGTACCAGCTAGTGAAGTGGGGATGAAGAGAGGCAAACTGACACCAAAACCCTCCAAACATCCATTTCCTGACCTAAACAGAGGAGAAATATTTGCTCTCTCTGTACTCCTGTGAGAGAACATGAGAGATATGGTCACAAATATGATGGGAGGGGGGTATGGAGAGAGTGCATGGCTCCATCTTGGTGGAAAAGCTAGGAACCTAGTTCACAAATAGAGGACATAAAGGATTTGAGAAATCTCTCTTCCTCTGCCTCCTACTGCAGGTAGTGCACATGGTAGCAGTATTTTCTAAATACTGTTAATAATAATAATAA